TGGGTTGTTTTGATTAAATAATAATAACTAAAAAATATATAGCTAACTAACACAATAAAACACAATAACAACATGATAAAAGTTTTTGTAAATAAACTTCATATGCTGTTTCACTTTCTGCATATATGATGCAGCATAAAAAAAATCAGAAACATATTAATAATTTTCTAATAATTGTTTTATAATTTCATAAGTAATAAAAATGCTTTTTTATAAATAGGAATAATAAATAATAATACAAATTTGATTTATCCTCATATTACTTTATTCTGCAGAACACCAAAGGAGAGATTTTCTGTGCAGTTACAATGAATGTTCACTAAAGCTTTCAAACTTAAAGCATGCATAAAAGTGGTCAGCACAACCTGTTTTCAACTACAGCGAAAAAATGAAGCCTGGAAATGTTTCTCATCTGCAGTTGTGGTAAAAAGTTTATTTTTGACCCTGTGTGCGAGTGTGGTTGGTTACTAAATCAGTAGCAGGCTTCAGTTGGACATGGACAGAGATAGCGACAGCGGATCAATGTGTGAAATTACAGCGTTTGCCCTTTTCCCTATATTAGGCTGCCCTATGTCCGAGAGAAGACCCCTGAGCACCGATTGCTGATCAAAAGCTCCTCGCTCCCCCACAGGCCCCCGAGGGGCCGCGCCATAGACCTACAGTGAACATTTCTCATTCAAGCCATCTGCACTGACAAAAACCTCATGAGGCCCACATCAATCATTGATCTACTTTAGTGACTGTAATTCCAATGAATCCATCCACGGATATGAGTTTACATCAGCGCACTAACATTCGCCACCTATCAACTGCAGGTTTGTACAAATCCATTTGTATTATCCATCTCGACCCACCTTGAGTCTAGAAGGTTTGTGCCTTCTGTTGTGCTGTAACTATTTCTGCATCAATACATTCTTCTTCAAAGGGATTTATAAGAGATAAAGGGTGGTGTTCGCAGACTTTTCAATTCTCCCTTCAGCACCAGAAGTCCTTGTACCAGACTAAAGCACACTTGACATTGCACATACGCCTTTAACAAGCTCCCAACCCATCATGCATTCACAACAGTGTGCTGTCAATAGACTTACCCGGGAATTTTTAAAGACATTCCTCAAAAATGCAAGGAAATTCAATTAATCATTGATCCATTCTTCTCCATGCAAACTGACTGATCTCATTTCGGTTCTGGGTTTTTTCTGCAGGCTAAATATTATGAATATGAGGATGTGCAAGATAGGAAGAGCCAGACTCATTGGGCTCATTGTCACTTGATCTCTTTCTCTGAATGCCTTGATTTTCAGTGGAAGATGTAAGTCCTTAAACATAGTGATTCATAATACAGGTACATCAATTGTTTGGATTCTTGTTTCCGTGTCGGACTCGTAGCACTGTGCAAGAATCAGTCTCAAGATCAAAACAGAACTGTGATGCAATGCCATTACAGAGCCATAAGACAATGATAGAAAGAAAAGGCTCTGTATACATATGAATGGCTCCAAAATGAAGCAGGCCTCTCAGTCCGAGGAAGCCAGTGTGATGTCTGTTAGTCACAAAACTGAGGAATCTAATATGAACCTTCAGCAGTCTCTGTGATGTTGCACTGACCCAATCTCACGACCCAGTCGAGCCAATTTAATTTTGTAGTTCAGCCAAACAGGCAATGCAATTGACTTCTTCAGAGTTGCTGAGATACCAGCATCTGGGTATATGAAAAAGGCAGAGAGACTAATGATTTAGGACCCCTCATTTACGACCAGTCTGATAAAGAAGAAATGTTGTGTCCATGATCTTTAACTGCGAACAAGTATAATACAACCTATCATGGGAAAAATTATTATGATGACCTGCAGAGAATGCTGTCACAATGGGAACCTGCATTAAATAGCCTATTCAGGTTAAACAGTACACAAACAGAAACACAAAGAGTTTAGAAACACAAAATTCATGAATTAAAAAATGGAAGGGGTTACAAAAATCTCAAACCATTTCAGACTTGCAATTAATAAATAATGCAAAATTACACCATATAAACCACAATGTTTTTTTCCTCCTGTTTATGTATTATTAGACAATGGATTTGTTTTTATGACTGTTACTTCTCTAAATATGTGTCTGTTAATGAGATGCCTTGTTTTGCTGTGTCAGTTTTGAGTCGCTCCATAATTGCTCATTAAATGTTGTGAAATGTCATTTGGAGCGTATACATTCAATATGAAACCAGAGCATCAATTTTAAAGGAATAGTTGATCCAAAAAATCTAGATGAGTTTCTTTCTTCATTGGATTTGGGGAAATTTAGCATTACATCACTTGCTTACCAATGGATCCCCTGCAGTTAATGGGTGCCATCAGAATAAGAGTTCAAGCAGCTGAAAAAACATCCCAATAATCCACAAGTAATCCAGTCGACTCCAGTCCATCAACATCTCGAGAAGTGAAATCCATCATTAAGGTATTTTACCTTTAACTTTCCTTAATAATGCTTCCTCAAATGAAATAGTCCAACCATAATCAAAATCTACCCACACATTTGTTTAGAACTGTTTTGGACTGTTTTCGCTTGTAAAAAGTGCTCTTGATTCAGATAAGACAATATTTCAATGGAGAAAACAGCTTTTCACTTCATAAGACATTAATTTATGGCCAGGAATCATGTTGTTTGTGGATTATTGTGATGCTTTTAGCAGCTGTTTGGATGCTTATTCTGATGGCACGCATTCACCTCAGAGGATCCACTGGTGAGCAATTAATGTAATGCTCAATTTCTCCAAATCTGTTCTGGTGAAGAAAAAAACTCATCTATATATTGGATGGCTTGAGGGTGAGTAAACAATTGCAGAGTGAACTATTCCTTTAAAATATAAAAGTCATTTAAAAAAATAAAAAAATATAAAAAAAATTTAAATATTGACACTTCTTTAGGGAGATAACAGAAGTTGAAGTTAATATTTCTTGTGCAAACTCTGTTTTGAATTTCAATAGGGCTGCATAGATTCAGGACCTTGGACAGAGACACTGCAGTCGACGCTACTCTCCAGAACGTCTGTTCACGCACAGTGAATGCCATGGTTGGTTAAAGCTGCCTAATTGATTTGCCCATTCAAATATCTGAGGGAGGACAAATGGCTGCAAGTGACATTTAAAAGTCACTTTTGAAAGTATTTACTCAGTTAAAGGCATCTTAGATGGTATTTGAGAGAATACAGTCAAAGTGTCTCAATAGACTTGAAGTACTCTCTTAAAAATGGTTACTTCACAACCATATTCACTGGTAAAAACATTTTATAATGGATGTTTCTTTGAACATTAAACAGTTTTGTTATAGGTTCGCTAAAGCACCAGTGAATTCTGAAAAACTGTGGAACTTAAGTTGTGGAATTCTAATCTTTATTTTTAAAAGTGTCGCTTGTTGACAACAGTACGATCAATACATTTGTACAAAACCAAATGTCACTACCCCTATGCTCATTTTTCACAGACAGCGTTCCTTAAACACTAGAGGTTTTACTGAAGCAGTAAGACTGATATAAAAAATGAGGACATGGAGATTGTGATTAACAGTATGATTTATGATTTATGGGACTAAAGAGAATAGGGAGTTAAAGACCAGAAAATGAAAAGTCAGTGGTCATTCATTAAATGTCAACAAAATGTGTTAAATGTCTTTAATCTATTTCAAAGACTCATGTCTGCCATTTGCTTTCTGTCCTGCAACATTTAGTTTGTGTCTAAATTTAGTATTTCTGAGCCATGTGTCTCAAACTTTGATATAATGTCTAATAAAAATACACAGGAACGTGTCACAACCCTCCCTCAGCCATGATGTGTGGATGTTATATGTGACCCTGGAGCACAAACCCAGTCATACTGTAAGTAGCACGGGAATATTTGTAGCAATAGCCAATAATACATTGTATGGGTCAAAATTATTTATCAAATTATAATCAAGATTTTTCTTTTATGCCCAAAATCATTAGGATATTAAGTAAAGATCATGTTCCATGAAGATATTTTGTAAATTTCCTACCATAAATATTTTTTGCACCCTCAGATTCCAGATATAGTTGTATCTCAGCTAAATATTGTCCTATCCTAACAAACCATACATCAGTTGAAACCTTATTTATTCAGCTTTCAGCACGTGTAAATCTCAATTTCATAAAATTGACCCTTATGACTGGTTTTGTGGTCCAGGGTCACATATAAAATTCAAACAAGAGAACCTACTGATTCAGATCACACCAGTTCTGACATTTAACATCCATCAAAATTATCACAAATTAAATTAGCCTAAATAAATGTCAAATTATACTTTCTTAACCCAGAATTGTTTTTTGTTCCATAAATCCGATTTTTACAATTACTTTCACCTCATGAGGGTCAATAATAGTGATTTAGCTCATTTGCAATAGGTTTAACTGATGGAATTTACGGGTTAAATTGGTGAATAGCCTATACTATTAGTCAATGTTTGTTATGTCACTCATTTGTGAATTTCAAAGCAACACAACGCACATACATTACTGCGAAATTACTGGACTGCACATCTGACAGCAAAAACACCGTGTATCATCCTGTATTCTAACAATGTAACTTAGCTTTTGTTTAATCGGGACAGTCCAACCGAAAGGTTGGTCGCGTTATAACTGAGCTTTCGCACGGCTGAGGACGAGAAGTCGCCTATGCTGTCTCGGAATACAGCACAGAAAGAGAATGAACACACGAACCCCCGCGAGAATGTGTGTGTTTCAAAGCAACACAACGCGCATACATTACTGCAAAATTACTGGACTGCACATCTGACAGCAAAAACACCGTGTATCATCCTGTATTCTAACAATGTAGCTTAGCTTTTGTTTAATCGGGACAGTCCAACCGAAAGGTTGGTCGCGTTATAACTGAGCTTTCGCACGGCTGAGGACGAGAAGTCGCCTATGCTGTCTCGGAATACAGCACAGAAAGAGAATGAACACACGAACCCCCGCGAGAATGTGTGTGTGTGATGGAATAGAGAAGGCGCATGTGTGATGAGTGTGTAGTATATGTAGACACTGCCCACCGCTGTCGCGCTCCCCCCACCTTGCATGTCTACCGCCGGACGGAGTCGCACAAGGGTTCGTGCCACTGCAGGGGGAAAACCCGGCAAGAATGGATTTCTAACAACGTTTCTCCTTTCTTTCCTTTACCCAACTGACGTCATCCTCAATGTCTCTCACAAATTTGAACTAACAAAATGAGGATTTCTTGTAATCAGCTTTTACTGCTATTCTCTTGCGTTTGGGGACTTACTATGGGTGCTTTTCCGAGCAGCGTTCAAATCGGTAAGTACGGCGGTTCATCTCAAAAACACGAGCTTCACGTTAAGTGCGTTAAACTGTGTCAATTGAATGACAAAAATAAGACCGCCTGCATTGAGGTCAACTACGAATGTCAGTGCGCAAATAATGCGGTTGGAAGTAGGTTTTGTTGCATGACAGCAAAGGGTAATTTTGGGAGGAAATAGTTTTTTTTGATACTTTTTGTTTGTTTGTTTTTTAGCTGTCAACCAGATCATTTTGCCACGTTTTGGTTATGGCACCACTGCAGTGCTCTCCGTGGCTCAAATGGGATGTTGTTCTGAAGGTGGATCATCCTGAACCAGGGCATTAACGCAGTGAAAGTTTATTTATTTATAAATGAATGCTTGGTAAAAATTAAAATAATTTTGATATATATTCACAAAGCGACTTAAATGTCAGTTCACCACCTCGTCAATGGAAAGTGGTTTAATTTATTCCAATACTGCATCAAGCCCTATGTCATAAGCCCTGAGACTCTTGGTGCCTGTGAGATTCCTGATCTCTCTTATTGTTTGACCGAGAATAGCCTATGTAAAGTGTACTGTTATCTGAGGAATAGAATGCCATAATCACACTATAAAAATACATCAAATTTACAGTAAAAAACTGTCAGCTGTGCTTGTGTGAAATTCAATGTGGTGACGTTTCAGGCATTAAGGGAGGTGTTTTGTTGCCTTTTACATTTAGTATGTTTAGACATTATCATTGACTGATTATTGAAACAATTTAATTAATACTGAGTAACTTTGACAGAAAATAGCCAGTTAGTAAGTTATTTATTTTTAGTCAACGAAAATAGTTCCAAAAGTAGCCAGTGTTGCCAACTTATTTTCAGGGGAAGTTGCTAAAGGAAGGGCGATTTGTTGCTAAAAAGTTGCTAAATGATGTTGCGATGTCATTGCGCGATGACGTCGTTACGTAATCACGACGCAAAATTGTCACTGCATCAAATCTCAGCAAACATATTTTATATATGTTAATTTAGATTTGTTCGTAAAATAATATAAATGCATAATATAATATTAAAATATAAACAACTGTATTTTTAAATACAACATTTAATTGTTGAACACTTACACATGTTTTGAACAATTTAAGATTTTTTTTATTAGCTAACTTGTAAAACTACACATTCTGAGCAACAGTTTTAAGCAGTGTATTAGTATGCTACACTCTAAAAATCTGTACAAATAGGGCAAAATCTACTATGTTAATATGAAGGAATTTTCCGTATTGATTTTTCGCAGGTTTTTTACCTGCATTTTTAATTACGGATTGTATTTAGTGTTTTCGGGTTACAACAGATAATGTCCTGGAAAATTACTAGTACCTTTTCCATTTTTCTAGATATTTTTCTTACAGTGTACTAAGTGATCGACAATCGCAGGTACAAGCTAACAAGGTGTATCATTAATGAACAATTATTAAATTATTATTATTATTAATAAATTGAACAATTGCAAACAGCAAGTAACTTGATTCACGTGATGTGTGTACTCATCTTTGGTTTCCTCTTTTTGTGTAATTTAGATGAAAAATGTGTGCCTTTTTATTGTTTGAGTCACTTATTAAAAGTTGCTAAAAGTTGCCAAATAAATGTTAAAAATAGCTAAATTTGTTGCTAGATGCTTTTGGAAGAAAAGGTTGCTAGGGTAGTGTGAAAAGTTGCTAAATTTAGCAAGAAAATTGCTAAGTTGGCAACACTGAAAGTAGCCAAAGTGTCAAGCTTTTTGTGTCACTAAGCAACGTGCGGATTAAAAGCCAGAGTGGAACTGGAATGGAGCGATAGAGAGTACTTTGCTCTAAGCATACTGTAATCACTCAGCTCCAGCTACACTCCGGGTTTTCCATTTCATGCTCCCCGCCCACTATAGTGAGAGAACCCCACTTTGGAATGTAAAAGGTGTTAGCATATATATATTTTATTTATTTTTATTTTTTTTCTCAGAATACCCCATAAAATAGATTTGATTTTTCGTTTTCGATATCCGGCCAAATGTTCTCCCCTACACAATAAATGCTTGATATTATTGCACATTATAAAAAGTGTAAAATTTAAACAATAGGCTACATTATGAAAACTCTGGGGCAAGTTCAAGCTCAAACCGGTGTGCACCGTTTTGCTACGGTTTCCGGTTTGAACGACATGCATCAAAATAAATTCACAAGAGCAAGTATATTGATTGCACGTTTATTTGCATTAAAGGCAAAATAACTAAAATAATAAGAGCACATGTATAGATCTGGAACTTCTTTAAGTCTGTCTAAATATCATTTAGTAATTGCAATGTCTTCTGGTCCATATCCTTTCCTTAGGAAGGTGTGCTAAATACTGATTAATGTTACATAAAATACTATACATATTTATATGTTTTGCTATTGTATTATGGAGTGACACTTTCATAAACTTTTCTATACCCCTCTGATTATATAATGGTAAATATTACAATATCATAGCACAACAACAGTGATCAGCAATAATGTTAAGCCGAATACTCACAATAAAAATAATAAGGTCATATAGATCATAACACAGTCTTGGAGGTAAGAAGTGGATTATCCTTCACCTGAAATGTTTGTCTTTTCATCCTGAAATGCGAGGCAAATGTTGGATCACAATAATTAGGAACCACAGTTTCCACAAATCCCTTCATTTGATTGGAATGTTCTCTTTTATTCTGGAGGGCAAGGGCAGTGACTGTACCATCGAGCGTATTTTGCAGTATTAAACACGTATTTATACCGATTTCATCAGGCTCCGAAAATTCTTCAACAAGAACACAAAGAATGGCCTTCTCAGCTGCCATAGTTGCAACTATTGCGTCATCAGAACAGGGTGTTTAACGCACCACCGTTTCCGTTTAAAAAAACGTTTTGCACCGTTTTTGCCGGGGCTGAACGCAGCCCTGGTCACAGTTAAACATTGAAGGATTGAAGGATTTCAATTAAATGTACATTGCTTCCCATCTGGTTTATGCGCATGCGCACGTTTTCGCGCACGCAGATAAGACAGAAGTTTAAATGTATGTCGCTTGCTCTCAGGTCTCAGCACCCAGAAATACGCGCTATATATTCAGACAGACATCTACAGAGAAGAATATAACCAGAAAAGGCTAGTTTTTCGCTGGGAAAACAACTCTTGAGTTACAATACACGCATCTGCCTAAGCACCTGTCACATCAAACTGTGTTTATGAGCCTTTTGGAATCGTTTAATATAAAGTGCACTTCGTGCATTAGATAGGTCGTGCGCTTTCCTCTCAACAGTTTGCTTGCTCTGTGGCTTCAACCATTGGTTATTTTTAAATGCATTTTTCCATTAAAATGCGTTTTTGTAAAGTTACTGCACTAATAGAGTTTCTCTGTGCACGACAAGTAGACGCAGATCAATAATGAAATTTGACGAGTATTTTCATTATCGATTAGTCGTTGTAGCGTTGAAGACCTCATTTTGGCAATACTTTTAAGTAAACTACATGCATTTTCTTGGTGAATGTGTAGTATGAATTTTCACCGATAATAATAATGGCAATTCTTTCTCTACTTTGCTTTTTCAGCAAAAAAAACAAAAACAAAACATACACATACAGTAGCCTATTATACAGTAAAAAATGGACATATGGAAATATTATTATATAAAATATAATCCCAAAACAATGTTTTTTAATCGTATATGGTAAGTCTATCTAATTACTAGATTATTATTTGTACTTTTTTACACAAAATTTTTAATACACAATCTTTATTTGAATCTTCCAGAGAGAGATGTCATATATGTGCATAATGGGGTTATTCGCCTGTGAAAGCTAACTGAAGTGTGCAAGTGTGCACTTGACTCATCTGATGTGGCATGTTACTTGAATTTCAGTATCCTTGAACCATGTGTTTTTTTTTGTACTCATATCTCTTTTTCTTCTTAATCAAATAGCCAGTTTTCTATATGACGTTTTTGGTGCAATGTGTTATTTCCCCCTCTCTTTCACTTCTCCTCCTCTCTTCTTTCTTTCTCGCTACACTCTCTCTCTCTCCTGCAGGCGGGCTGTTCATCAGGAACACAGATCAGGAGTACACTGCCTTTCGGTTGGCTATTTTTCTTCACAACACAAGCCCTAATGCATCTGAGGCCCCCTTTAACCTGGTACCCCACGTGGACAACATTGAGACTGCCAACAGCTTCGCTGTGACCAATGCCTGTGAGTGCAACCTGAGGCTGCATACTGGATATTTACATGAATGCTGTTTTAGCCAGAGAAATAGAGAAAGTACAGTAGGGGATATTGTTGGTAGACCTAGAGTTGGTTTGGATTAAATCCTATTTGAATAGCACACCGTTTAAGCCAATGATAATCATACCTGTGATGTGAACTGAACACATATTAGGGCAGCACAGGCCCTCCATGCATTGTGATAGGGATTGCCTGGCCCCCATCCAGTCAGCACTGGTGTCTCTTTGTAAAATCTGTCCTCCGGCTCTCAGCTGGCACAAATACAGGCTAAGTGCGTGTAGTGTACAATATATTCGTGTATGCACCCTTCCCCCAATGCCCTGAGCAGGGCGTTTTCACTGTGTGTTCATGTGTGTGAATGTTTGAATGCATTTGCTTGTGTTCTGCTGACATATGTGCTGGCATTGCATAAATTGAGTTTGTGTTCAGATTTTGCAGTAATACAGTCTAGGTCTGCCATAATTTGCTTGTAAACCCCTTCTGGCGTTTCTGCTTTGTGGTCCCATGTTTAGGCCTGTGGGCCAGAATGGTGATTGTCCATCAAGCCAGATCCATGATGATGTCGCATAAAGGTGTACCATATTTTCCCGAACGTCTTTTTGCCATTTCCCATCATGCTAAGTGGTTTTTGACATAGGGTCAGAGGGTAATAGTGAAGATCAGCCACGGTTGTGCCTGGACTTCCGGTTCTTCCTCCTTGTGCCCAGTTCAATTGCTATCTTTGTCACGTAATGTTCAATGCTCAGCTCTAACCACAGCATACAGTGTTCCTTATTTTCTTGTTATCTACTGTGCTGTGATATGAAGTGATACGAGGACCTGTGCTTCCCAGACAATTGTGTTTTGTGGAAAGTTTGAAAATATGCAGCACAAGAAATGTATTTCTTTAACTTCTAGCAAAGACAGCATCATAAACCCCATGCAATTAAAATTGGAGTTTTGCAGCGTTTCTGTTACTTTTAAAGCCGTCTGGTGTACAGCTGATTGAAGCAGATACACACATTTAAAATTTACAGTCACTCTCTTCCAGGAAAATGGAGGAATATTTTGATGACTCATATTGCACTACACAGTTCTGGTCGAATTAAATGCTCTCTAGAGAGAATGAATGTCAGTGAGAGATGTTTTGCACTGTATGCTACTGTTTTCCAGTTAAATTTATGTATTAAACTAGCGTTTATGCTGTGAAATGTTCAGTTTGTAAAAAAAAAAAAATATTTTAGTAAATTTTCTAATAAATTTATTTGTATTTTCATTACATTTGATAGAATTGTTCAAGTATTTTTATTTAGTTTTCTAGTAAATCTTTTTGTCACAAAAATGTTTTGTAAAGAAAACTTAAGTTCATGAAAAATATTAATATTTCTAGAAAATATAGAAATATATTAGAAATTTTCTAGTAAATTTCTATTCAGTTTTTTTATAAATTTTTTCACAAAAAATGTTATAAAGAAAACAAAAAAGGTCATGAAAAATATCAATCTTTCTAGAAAAAACTATATATACAGTGGGTACGGAAAGTATTCAGACCCCCTTAAATTTTTCACTCTTTGTTATATTGCAGCTGAAAGGTAGTAAGGACATCAATAAAATAGTTAATGTGACATCAGTGGTTCAACCTTAATTTTATGAAGCTACAAGAATACTTTTTTTGCGAATACTTTTTGAAAACAAAAATATCGCCTTAACTCAATAATTCTTCTCTCTAATGGCCAGCCAAAAAGATTTAAGAAACTGATTTGAACTTGCTTGTGACTTAGTTGTTTAATTAGATTTGTTCTGTAATTTGGAAACTAGTGATGGACCAAAATTTTAGCTACTGAAAGTATCTGAAACAGCAAAAATAATACATTTGACATTTTTTCCAAAATATGGAGTCTGACATATCAGGTCTGAAATACTGAGGGACTGTTAATTGCTGAAAAATGTTGCTACGACTTTTTTACCACATGTGAACATCGTGCACAGCATAAAAACTTCAGTTACCCAATCACCCAAATTTATGTCCAGGTAACCAAAACTTTGAAAAACCAAAAAAAAAAAAAAAAAAGAGAGAGACAGCAAGCTAGCAAGAAACAAAGGCAAAATAATGATGGAACACTGCACATGCACGATTGAGAGGCGGGAGACAAAGAAAGAAAGAGGCTGCAGTTTAGCCCCCAGGCTTGTTGCTTATTGCTGCTGAGCTGGACTCTGGCTAATTAGTTATTAGATTGCAAAGATGTGCAGGAACAAGCTTTAATTAGGTTAGTGGCTGCAGACAATTATGTTGTTATGGCAAATAAATACTTAAAATAAGTAAATATTCTTTAGGCCAGTGAAAATCAGAACTACTGAACCAACTGTGAAAAAATCTTTACTGTTGAGCCCTGTTGAGCACCGACTACAAGTAGTAAATCATGTTTTATAGCTGTGACTAAAGTATTGTGGCTGTTTTAAACAAAAAGGACAATCCTTCCAATGTCCTGCCCACAACTTTCTGTTTCCCCGCTCTCATTAAGCGATTTCATATGATCTTCATTTTCCTTATTTTGACATTTATGTTATCAGACGCGCTATTTCAACACTCCGTCAACACTTCCTCGCCGCTACACAAATTCTTACACTCCTCATCCGGTGTCATAACATGCTGTGTTCTCCACACTCTGAGACCCGTCCCTGATGATAGAGTCGGCCCCTTGAGCGATAATGATGAATTTGTCTGAAATTTATATAGCCCATTGAACCTTCTCAGCAGATTAAATGCACACGCCGCCATCGTGGTAATTCGAGCCAGCCTGATAAGTTCCTGTCCTATTACTGTGTATGAACAATTGGTTTCAGTTAAACAGATTAATTGCCCGGTCCGTCACTCGCCATTTTGAGCTCAGTGTAAATCACTGCAGAGGAGCGGCAGCCCTGCTTGTGCAGTAGTCAGACTACCAGCGGTCTGATGTGGAATGCCACATCCTCGGCGTCTCTCAGCCTTTCCTTCCTCTGTGGCTGTCTGCAGCTCTGTTTGCAGTGTGTTGCACATGATGGCATTTATTCCTCACTGGGGAGCCAACGCTGCCACGGGAGGATGAGTAGAGGACAGATTATTCGCTCCCAATGATCTTTCTGCTTTCAGCCGCCTGTTTCTTTCCCTCCATCCTCTCAGTTCTGCAGTGTTATTTTACACAGTCGATTGTTAAATTAAGTGGGGAATGACAAATGCGTGTTTTTGGGGGGGTGAGGGGCAATTTTGCATAGTAGGGATTTGTGTGACCTCTAGGACAGCCGTGCAAGTGGCCATGTTTTCAGCTTCTCGGCAGTGGGTATGTCAACTCAGCAGCATAGTGCTGATACAAGCCTCTTTTTGTGTAATTCAGTCATAGCCGAGACAAGTTTGTTTCCTACCGTCGTATCAGTGTGCATGATAGCATCGCCACATGGGCATATGCCCCTCTCCACAGAGCTACGCTCAACCTATTTACTCGCAGCGCCACATGAGTGAATGCTGCTTTATAATATGAGCACGGCAGCTGGATGAAGTGTTATTGGTGCTTTTAAATGGTTTATAAAAAGGTCAGCAAGTAAAAGTTTGTGATATGTACGTTTGTTGTGGTAGTTTCCAGTTATTCTTACCCCAGAGTCTTATGCTGTATTAGATAGCTCCGATATCTGAAATATTGTGCTACTAGAGCAGGGCTTGGTGTAAAATGGTCACAAATGTGACACAAAATGAAAAAAAAGAAAAAGAATTCAATTCAAATTCTAGGCCTAGTCAAAAATGACATTTCTGTCATTAAATACTCACTCTCATGTCGTTCTAAACCCTGTAAGACTTTCCTTCATCTTCAGAACACAAATTAAGATATTTTTGATGAAATGCAAAAGATTTCTGACCCTGCATAGACAGCAATGCAACTACCACATTCAAGGCCCTGAAAGGTAGTAAGGACATCAATAAAATAGTTAATGTGACATCAGTGGTTCAACCTTAATTTTATGAAGCTACAAGAATACTTTTTTTGCGAATACTTTTTGAAAACAAAAATATCGCCTTAACTCAATAATTCTTCTCTCTAATGGCCAGCCAAAAAGATTTAAGAAACTGATTTGAACTTGCTTGTGACTTAGTTGTTTAATTAGATTTGTTCTGTAATTTGGAAACTAGTGATGGACCAAAATTTTAGCTACTGAAAGTATCTGAAACAGCAAAAATAATAAAAAAAAAAAAAAAGGTATAAATGAAATGTTCATCCAAAATTTCGAAAAGTTGTTTTGACCTTATATCTGATGCATGCCATTACAAGTAATAAACATTGTAGCCAAATTTCATATTTTAAATTGTATATTTACTGGGTCAACTACTTCCACAAACCTCATGACCCTGGCCCTCCATCCCTCCCTCTTGTGGCCTAATGGTTAGAGAGTCAGACTTGTAACCCAAAGGTCGTGGGTTTGATTTTCAGCATGGCAGGACTTGTAGGTGGAGGGAGTGAATAAACAGCGCTCCCTTCCACCTTCATTACCCACAACTGAGGTGTCCTTGGGCAAGGCACCAAACCCCCTCTTGGTGTAGGTTCACTACTCACTGCTGTGTGTGTGCACTAGGATGGGTTAAATGCAGAGCACAAATAAGGATCCAACAACAAACATGGTTTTTAATATATTTTGCACATTTGCTGTCTGACTTGAGTGGAATGACTTTATGCTAGGGCCTAAGTCAAAATGTTGCATTTGATTTTTTGATGCACCCTAGTGCTCATATTTCTTTATAAGACATGGATTAAATTTCTCATTTCGTATGGATTTGTTTTACAATGCCTTTATGACCGTTTTGGATCTTTCTAAATTTCATTTGAACCCAAGTCTAAAGGTGTAGTCACATTAGTGACATTTTGCATGCAAAAAGGCACATCATCCATTGTGTTGAAATTAAAGCTGTCAAATGATTAATCGCAATTAATCGCATCCAAAAATGAATTTTTTTGTTTACATAA